ATGCCTCGATATTTCCAAGTATTCCTGCGGCAAATACTTTTGCGCCTGTTTGTATGACAGCCTGGAGAGCTTCGAGAATCATCGAAGAAGATTATAGAAGGAAATGATAATACATGAAGCAAAGAAAAAAGTGGGATAAAATAATAACAATAATAATATAATAATAACCTAATTATCAGTTTAGTGAATAGGCAAAAAGATCCTAATGTGCTAATACATAAATGTAAACCACTTTCGGGAGATCGTCTGTGCCACTACTGTACATAACAACAAACAGGATGTGTAAAAGTACATAACAAGAATATCAAGAACCGACTTACTGTATTTGTTATGAATTTTAATGAATAACCAGATCTCTTTAGGTTTTATACAACCGTAATAACAAATAAGAAGCATATGCTCTACAGACTATAATCCACGCTTTCGCTGACGACAGCACATTTATTAATTCCTATCTGATTGCCTCACTTTAATACAAATGGCTCGATCCCTTTCATACTTTATTACCATTGGTACTAAGATCTCCTTTTAGGATTTCTTCTGGGCGAAAGACTTGACTATATGTAATGGTTTGCACTTGTATTGTCCATCTGGCGAATGTAGCTTTTCAAGAAGCCCCCTTCCAAAAATGTTAAAATTGGACAACAGTCGGAAAACAAATAATCACTATTCATGGTAAGGTGCAATTAAAAAATCATGACAGTCAATTGTCGTTTATTTTTTTTTTTCTTCAAAAAAATATATGTATATTTATATCATTGTTCTATTTGCTACATTCAAGTTAAATATCGTTCTGTAATAACGAGCTCAAATGTTCATCCAATGTATTGTTATTTCCTTGTGCTAGCTTTCTACAAAGAGTCCAGTAAATTCACTAGTAATGTTAATCAAGAGTATATACGTAACATCAAATGTTAATTTAGTCAAAATAGCCGGAAAATTCATATTCCCAAACCATGTGCAATAACCCTATCTCATATGAATACTTTTCTATAATTTCGTCTAATTCAGTGCTCATATTTTCGGCTGCTTTCTCGGAAACCTGAAGGTAGAAGACTGACGGATAAAGTCTTGTATCTTTCCAGAATTCCAAAAATTCCAC